CATCTCCCCCCGCGTCCAAGAGCCCTATCAGTTAATAGAACGCCCTGCAACGTATTCGAGCGAGTATGACGCCTGCTGGGTGCTCCATTGCCTCTTGAGCCACCAAGATGCCCGACCTTATCATCGTCATCCTCTTGGTAGCTTATCTTCCACGTCAGCCTAGACTGCTTTGCGGCATGCCATCCCCTACTTACATACCGCAGGTCGGCCTGCCTCCCCGGGACCTTGCTCTACCCTGTTCCCGTCAACTTCTAGTGTCAACCCGAGGACTCTCCCGCTCTGGAGTCTGCGCAAGACGTCGAATCAGAATTCGTCTTCACGTCTCCTGGAGATGGACTATGACAGCTGCAGCGTACTTACGTTCGGCGAGCTTTTGGCCAAGATTCCTGGAAGATCTGTTCAAGAGGAGACAGCAAAGTAATCAAAATCTCTAGGCAAGTACATAACGTTATGCTCCGTGATGTACAGAACCGCTCTCTGCTGTATCTCGTCCTGCTCCATATCCCTTTTGTGCTCATATGACCTCGGGTAGTCTGGATTCCACTGGCGCCGGTCCCCGCGTTTCCAATCTGGACCTCTCTACGAATTCGAATCAGAGATAGTGGGTCGAACCTGCCCTCTACAATTGTTATCGCTCGCAATTAACTTATGGGTTTCGAAGACCAGTTGTTGCTGCTGGTGGTCGCTCCATCGCCGTGGCTCCGAGACCTCTGGCTGGCCGCCATCCTGGCCTTCGAGAACTGGTCGAACCTTCTTTTCCTTCTTCAGTCTCCATACTCAACGGCTTGAACGATCCGAAGTCGAAGTCGACCCTCCAAGCAAAAAGGCAAGTTGCCCAGATAAATCAATCCAGCACCACTTTTCCTGATGCACACGTTCGAACTCTATGTAGGCATCAAGGAACGCCCTTCATTTAAGATTCGCGTATGGAATCTTTCTTTTCTGAAGCCCCACCTCCCGGCGGCGGAAACAAGCTGACCTCTAAAATGGCTCTCACCCAGGACTTTTGCAAGCCCGCGCGTTTAAGACTACGTACTGTCGTCGCAGATTCCCTTCGAGAGATGCGCATCTTCAACGAAAACGGGCAGTCAATCCTGACGTGGACGCATCACCAGTTGTCACGGCGGCCTCTGTAACCACTACATGCCCAAATGTCTCCAAATCGTCTACCCCCTTTGGCTGTCCTGTCCAAGTTGGCAAGCTTATGGCACATGGCCTTCAGGCTTTCAAGTATGTAATGACAAGTCGTAAGCCAGCCTATTCCTGTTCCTTCCTGCTCAGTTTGCTGACGAATAACGATCTTGCGCAGCAACACTTTGCTCTTCTAAATGTGTAGTGATCGTGACGGAGTACCGGGCGCCTCTTCCCTAACTGATCTTGCATCTTCGACAAAGTCTCGTGTACGGCCTCATAATCTCCCCCCTTCCTCTCCAAGCTAAGGAGATCCAGGCACGGACAATGTTTTTGAGGTTAATGCGTTTCCTTGGGTCTGGGTTTTTAATCTCCCAGGGGAATGGTTTTGTTTTGTTTTCGGCGTCGGACGAGGGCCCGAGGTGCGTTGATACATAGAACGGGGACCCTTGCGCATTCATACGACATCCATCCCAAAGCCGCCGGCTCTTTACGTCGCTTTTCATTGTTCTATGATACGAAATGAATGATATCGGTTCTCCGGTGGTCTTGGTGCATATCATATCTTGAAAGAAGAATGCACTGTATGCACTTGTAAGCACGCTCACAGCTTGCCGGCGCGCGCAATCAAAGGTGGCCCATGTGCAGCATTCCCAAATACAATCGGATTGAGGTAGGTCACTGCCGTCATGTTCTCCTCCTTCTCGGGTACCTCCGTGGACTTGGATGCGTTCAGATACATATGTTATTTTTGAAAGCTGTTCATCTGGAGAAGAAGTGATGATTGCAGAGAGATATGGTGAAAGATAAATGATACCCCGAGGCTAATGTCTCCACTCGTATCAGATGCGAGACCGCTGCACGCACGTAAGGGCGAGCCCACTTGAGGAGATTTCATTGTCAATGAATGCAGAAGGCGATCAAAAGCAGCCGGTCGTCTCTAGAAGATATTTCGAACCCTCGTTATTCTTAGACCCTCGTTCGTGCAGTCGGGGGCTATCCGCGAGGATAGATACTTTGTTGGGGACGCGCACTCGGATACTACGGGTCTGGAAGAGAGAATGGGTTTGGATCCAAGGAACGCGAACGATTCGGTGGAAGTGGCAAACAAACGGGTTGTGCCGAGTGATAGAGAGATCGGTTATGGATGATCGCAGAGATCAGATTCCTGGAAGTAATTCCGCCGACCCGGCAGGAGGAAGTGTTCCACGAGGTGCTGGAGGGGAGGAGAAGACGAGGGCCAATCGGGGGTCGGGGAGGGTATTTCGGAGCGGGAAGGGGTGCGCACAGCGAGGAGAACCGATAGGCTGAGGAAGCCCTATAGTGAGGCGCGAGAAAGTGGGGAATGGCGTTAACTGTATGTTCGTTCGAGATAGCAGTTTGGCAAGATGTGATCTCTGGAAGTGGGTTCACGGAATCCGCGGGCATGTCATGTTGTCAGATCGCGGGCGAAATAGAGTTCGCCATGTCGGGAGGAGGGGGGAGGAGATAAAAGAGGATCAGGATTTTAGAATTTCCTCGAGAGACCCTCTTTTGTCGTATTTGCTTCCGTTGGGAGACTCTTCGGTAGGGTGGGCCAAGCGCAAATAAGAAGCGAGCAGAGAGGTGAGCTGCTGCCCTGTGGACGCGCAGACGCGAGGGAGCACTGACGTCCGCCGAGCACAGACATAAAGACAGCGGAGGAGACATTGTCGCCATCGCCGGAAGAACTAGAGCTCGGCATCTCCCGCGCGGCGATCAGAAAGCGTTATGAGCGACAATCCACTCGCTGTTCTTCCCTCTTCCCGCTGGGATCTCCCCGACAAAAAGATGTCCCTCGACTTCCCGCCCCCCAACAACAACCAGCTATACCCATCCCAGGCCGACATCGACCAGCCATTCGCCATGCACGCCGACAGCGCGTCCCCCACACATCCCCACATCAACGGCGGCCACCACCACCTCCACCCCTTTGACCAGCAGGAGTCCATGGACACCTCCGACCACGCCTCCTATGGCCTCTTCCCAGACTCGACCACCTCCTCGTCCTTCACCTCCAACCGCTACCGCACAAACGCGTCCTCCTCGTCCTCCCTCGGTCACAGCTACGGCATCAACTCGGACAATATCTACTCGCACAACTCCTTCGCAGACTCCGTGCCCTCCTTCAATGGGTCCAATGGAAACCCCTACGACATCGTCAGCACCATCAGCAGCGGCAAGGTCTCGCCCCTTACCCCCTCTGACTCGGTCAGTGGCGGCATTCACCACTCGTCGGCCTTTCCGCCGCCCGTCCCCGCGAAGGACTATCCGCCCCAGCCTTTCGGCGATATGCACGACCGAAGGCTTCCCGGCGTGGGCTCCGCAGGATACCATTCAGAATACCCCGACGATTATACGATCGGCGGCGGCGGCATGAACAACGGACTCTCTTTCGGCCCCTCCACGATGCAGCACTTCAATGACCGCCTCGGCCGCTTCCCCCCGGAGCGCTACAGTCATCCCAGCCAGCAGCCGTCCACCGTGCCCTCCCATATCTCAAGCCACGGTCCGGACATGATGCGTGGGGTAGCCCCTCATGCCACCCATTCATTCCGTGACAACAATGTGTCCCCGTATGATGACATGCACTACCTCGGAAATTCACATTCCGAGGTTCGAATGAATGCGGTTGACGAAACGTTGTCCAGGATGAAGCTGCAAGGCCACCCGATCATGGGCGCTTCGAATGATCTTCAGACGTTCATTAGGTATGCTTATTGGATTTTTTCCTTCACGCCAGTCAGCTAAACTCTTACTCGCAGGCCCTTCCTCGATCAATACGTGCGCACGCCGAACCGACTGGCCTTCGGTGAACGCACGGTGATCGTCATGTCAAGCAAAGTTGCCCAAAAGTCGTATGGGACTGAGAAGCGGTAAACTCATTTCCTTCTGTGGATATTTCCACATTTAACTCGTCTTTTAGTTTCCTTTGCCCTCCACCTACTGCCATCATGATTGGCAACTCCTGGTGGTCGGATGTCGTTCGCCGGGGTGAAGAGCCCAAGCTCTGCCCACCCCGCGTGATCGTCTCCATCTCAGGAGAACCTGCTCCTCAGGAAGGCACTATCGAGTGGACTGGTTCATCAGGGAAATCCTTCGATGTCAGCGATCCTCCCACAGGGACGACCTACATTGGCCGTTGTGTGGGCAAGCAACTCTTTATTTCCGACGTCGACGAGAAGAAGAAAAAGGTCGAAGCCCTCGTCAAGATTACTGCGCCAGCGTCCGACGACGAGCCTGAGCGTGTAATCGGCGTGTTCCCCTCCAGGCCTATTAAGGTGATCAGCAAACCCAGCAAGAAGAGGCAGAGTGCCAAGAACCTGGAACGTCAGTGTTTTAATCTTTCCTCTTCACGATTCATGAACTCAGTAAGCTTTTCGTTTCCGAAACAGTCTGCATCAATCATGGCTCGACGATTTCGTTGTTCCATCGTCTGCGTTCGCAGACGGTGTCTACCAAGTACCTCTGCGTATCTGGCTCAGGCTCCTCTTTCAAGGGATCGGATGGTGCTCCCTTGATGGGCCTCGATCAACGGTCGCGTTCCAACACCCCTTCGTTCATCGCGCGAACCGCCAGCTGGGGTATGCTTCAAACTTTACAACCCTGCGTCGTTAACCTAATGCTTGTTCCATTTTCCAGACCCTTTCATCATGTACATCGTCGATGTCAATAAACCCGGCGGTGCAGGTCTCGAGGCCCCACCTCCACCGCCGCCGCAGATGGAATACCCATCGCCCCCACCCAACGCCATCCCTTTCACAAACAACGGATCGCAGATCCCGATTTACTACAATCAGACTGTAGTATTGCAATGCCTGACTTCTGGCGTCGTCAGCCCGGTCCTTATTATCCGAAAGGTCGACCACCAGACGACCGCCGTCGGTGGTGGGCTGCAGGAGGGCGCCAAAGGCATCGCGGACCACTACTGTGTGGCAGGAGAGGTGTGCGGAGATCCTGTCTCCCAGCTGCACAAGATCGCGTTTGAGGTGTTCGACCCGAACAAGGGCATGCCCGAGCCTGGCACTCCAGGCGCTACGGGTGCTTTCTTGTCGTGCATGGGCGAGAAAGTGAACACCTACCGCCCTATTGAAGGCCGCCAGTGGAACAGTAACGCTTCCAACGGCTCGACCTCGCCTGGCATCCCTGGGTCCCCCATCTCGCCGACCGTGGGCTCGTCGAGCAACAGCGAGTACTTTGGCAAAGTCGACAGTGCGCCTGCCTCGCCATCTGCTTCGGAGTTCCTGGCCTCGAACGATGGTGGCCGTGTCCTCGTCAAGAAACCCAAGCGCTCGACGTCGAGCGCGGGTGGGATCAGCAAGCCTGTGGCCAAGGGCCGCCGACGGCCGAGTTCGGCAGGTTCTGTATCCTCGCGTCGCGGGACTGTGAGCGATGCTGGGGCGTCTTCTGGGGCTCTCTGGCAGGTCGATATCGGTGAGACGAGCGTCTGGACGATCGTTGGAACGGGTTAGTGTTATCTCTCTGCTTTGTATTTGCTTTGTATGCTAATCGACCTTCCTGTAGATCAAATCCGTTATAACTTCTACGTACCTCCCGTCCTCTTCGACAACCAGCACGCGCCTCAAACAGGATCCTTCCCGATACCCTCGAAGCCCGTAACGCCCTTCCCCGGTGTTGTCAAGTACCTGCCGCCCGACAGAGCAGCAGAGGCACCCAAGTCGAACTGCGCCCAGTCGCGCGCGATGCTGGCCAAGCCCAACCCGCACGCATCGAAGATGCTAACCGTGTACGGGGAGAACTTCTCCAAGAACGATCCTGTGCATGTCTTCTTTGGGTCGGAGCCGTCGCCGTACGTCGAGGTTCGGTGCACGGAGGTGCTCGGGTGCTTGCCGCCGGAGTCGCAGATCGTCAAGCGCCGGCCGATCATCCTCATTCGCTCGGATGGCGTTGTCTTCCCGTCGAGTACCATGTACCCGTAACGGCTTTGCATCTTTCGCCCTGCTTTCGTCTTCCGCTTCCGCTTCCCTTTGCGTCATTTACTTCTCTTTCCCTCCGGACATCCCATTTGCTTACTATTCTCGTCGCGTTCTCCCCCCTCTCATGCTCTATCTCCTCACCCTCTATCTCCTTTCGTTCCTGGGTCTGTAACCTCTGCTTTGTTCGCACACCGCCCTACGTATGTATTCTATAGACAGGACATGATACCTCCCCCATCTGCTTTTAAAATAACGCCCTAACCGTTACGTGCTCGACGCATGCTACCCCACATTGCTACCCCACTGTCTCTAGTATCTATCTGGGATTTCTGATGATCTGGTCTGAAGTGAATGCGCTGCTCGTTGTATTAGAATCAAAAAAAATTACATCTATTTCGATGGCTGGATAAAGGAGCTGAGAACGCGAGCGCTGATGAACGGAGGTCGTCTACTAGACCGTCTAGGATCTAGGATGAGCTAACTAACGAACCTCGAAGATCAAGGACATAGGAGGTAAGTATCACGTGCCTCGCCTTAGCGAGAAGCCTCCGTTTATGAATTCTATTTTCGACGATCGATTCTGCCACAACCTCCGCCTTGCGACCACCATTTAAACACTTGACCTTTCTGAACTATACGTTACGACTTCACCTGCAACGTCGTTCTATACACCAAGCTCAAGTCTTCCGTTCAAAAATTTCCTCCTCTGCCTCACCCGTACATGGCCATGAATTTCTCGTCCTTTGCCTCCGAAATTACCGCCCAAGTGTCACAAATATCGCCATATTCAATACCTGGAACGCTTTGGACGTACTACTTGGATTATCTATGGTTCTACGAGCCGGATTCATGGGTGGCCAGGATCGCGTATTCTTTTCGAATAATGGCCATCCTCATCAGTCTTCCTATCGTCATTCTTGCACTCTTGGTGCGTACTTCAAGCATCCCCCACACGAAACTTATTGACCGTTGAACAGGACATATCCTCGTATGGGATCGCCCGTACACTAGGTGTCATCGAAGATGTCAAGGCTTCAACGAGCGACAAACCAACCGTACACGCCGTCAGCTCAAGTGACACACCCATCATCCGCATATCAGGTTCCCTCAGCCCGTCGTCCACCGACTCGCTGCTCAGCGACTCTGACCGAGAGTCCACGACAAACCACGCCTTGCACAACAGGATGCGCAGTCCCCTGTCCGACTCGGTCGAGATGAGTGCATCCGAGTCCTCGTCGCAGGATTCACAGCCCTCCGTGTATTATGCGGGTGAAGATACCAGCCTCAAGCTTGCAGGGGTGGGCCTGTTCTCTCCAGCTGCCTCTCAACCACCTTCACCCACGATTAGTCGCCGCCACTTACCGCAAGAAGAGCAGCTTCGACACAGAATCCAGCAAGCCAGCAGCACGATCGAGGAGTAGGAGGGCGTAGCTTTTACAAAATAAAATTGTTTGCTATTTTACGTCTATGATACAGAAGGCGGCATTTGAACTCATACAGAGAGTGAGGAAATAAGGATATCTAGAAGCCAAAGCGTAGTTGGTCGCGAGTAAAGACGGGTGGTTTCCACTTCAGACATTCGCCATAGATCCGTCGTCTCTTCTTCGCTTTGGTCTTCTGGTGCTTCTCGAGCACGGCGTTGTTCAGGCATATGATATGTTGGCCTTTGTAGTGCTTGAAAAGTTGTAAGGTTGTACAGCTACGATGGATTCAGATACACCCCATGGTGTAGAATACAGTTGACTTACGTGTTCATGACATCGGCGTGGGTGATGGAAGTCTTCTGAGCAATGTCATCGATGCTCATCTCGGCGTCTGGTGAATTCAAAAGCAGGTCGATGATGGTTTCTGCCCAGTAGGCACGGTACCCCAGAAGACCTAGATCACTGAGCGGCTTCTCCGGGCTTCCAAGTTTCCCTTCCTTCTTGCTCAACTCGTAGGAGAATTCAATAAGCAGCTTCCCATATCCATGTCGTTGGTGCTGAGGCAATGTTAAAATGCAGGCAACATTGTAGCTTTCGGCCGATTCCTTTTCCTTTGAAAAGTAACCGATGATATGGCAGCCTGTGGAATCGCGTTTGGCCTAAGATAACTCAAAGTCAGCCGAAAGGGTGAAAATAAATCAGTAGTGCAACGAACCATCACGTAGTACATGAAAGGCGTCACGTCATAATACAGCGTCTTGCTGAAGATACGTGAGTTTCGTACCTCGGAAGTAGTGGGGTAGACCTACTGGTCAAGAAAGCACTTGGAGAGTAAACTGAGATTGCGACACCAAGTCAACTGGCGCTTGCCATCGATTTCGTAGAACGAAATATCCTCGTGGCGATATATTTCATTTCCAGGAGGATGTAGCATGGTACATCGTTGTCGGTGCCGCGAAAACATTAGGGGAGAAGGGAAGAAAGCTAGACAGAACTCGCAAATGTAAAGGACAGGAAGGTGGGCGTATTCTTTGGGATATGGACTGAAATACCAGGCATCTACTTCGTGCTTCCCTATCTGGAGTCGATTGAGGTTCTTGACGCGAGCAATCTCAGATATGGATTGTGTCATTGAGCCAGACGTCCGAAGTTTCTCGATTTCCTTCTCCTTGCTGAAGGAAGAGGCGGTAGGCAGACTTGACACTGGCTCTGTCATGCTGAGGTCGAAAGTTTCTAGGTCTCCCTCGCCATCGATGTCCATTTCGCCTTCAGCGTCAATATCTTCCCCTTCGGCATCTCGTTCTTCTTCTTCCTCTTCTTCCTCTTCCTCTTCGTCATGGGGAAGTTTCCGTTTGAGCGAAGAGGATGGTGCAGGTGATGGAGACGGAGGATAGTCATCGATGAGCATAGGAGTAGATGGGCCAGGGGTGGGGGAAGTGCCGAGTGCAGCATTAGAAGTGGCTTTCTTCAGAAGACTCTGGCTTTGTGCCCGAGGAGCCTTTCCTGGCTTTTTTGAAGGGGTTGTCTTCTTAACGCTCGGAGGCGCTTTTGGCCGAGGCCACTCGAGGTCCCGACTTAGCACGAGTCGCGAGCCAGCAACCCATTCATCAAGGCGCTTGTTGAAGTGTTCCCAGTGGACGAAGTATTCCCATTGGTCTTCTGGCTTCAGGGGGCCCTCTTCAGGTTTGGTGCGTCTAGCATAGGGGTTTACGGGCTTGTCCCGTATCGACAGAATTTCTGCAAGACGTTCCTCTGTCTCGCCGTTGGGTGTTGGGCGTCGAATGTAGATCTTGCAGCCAACAGTGACTGTCTGGGGGGTGGCTTAGTCATGAGCCATAGCGAAGAATCAGTCTTCCTGACACACCCACCTGGATGGTGTAGGTTCCTCCGGGCGTTGTTGGCGGTGGTGATCCATCGGTAGGGGTCGGTGCTTGCGATACCATACTACTAGAGCTTTGGGGGCAGCGTCAGACTTTTGGACGCTACTCGCTGTGCTTTACGAATCGCTCTCTCATGACTCATCGATGTATGAAAGGTCCAGATCATGTGATTTATGGATCAGAGTCTTCGCGGTCCGGGGAATAGACACGAGAAAACTGCTCCTACCATTCCCATTCTACAACGGCCATCCCAGTCATGGACGATGCCCTAGTTCTTAACATCGCAGTGGATGATGCACCGTCAAAACTACGTTTATCAGGGAAAAAGGGCGGGCGATGGACGGAAAGGTATGCCATTTCGAAAGGAATCCGAAGGCGAACTGACCATTTTTTTCAAAGGTTGAAGACGAATCGTACTCTGAAACGGAAGGCAAGAAACGACGATTCCGCACCCTCTACACTTTCTGAGAACTCACAACTTTCTACGAAAGTCAACCAGAGGCCCCGTAAAAAGGCTCGTTTAGATGTTGTAGAGGAACCGTCCACAACCTCCCAAGGCCAGCCTCGCCAACCTCCACCTTCAAAGCCAGCTCAAATTATATCATCCCTCTTCACCTACAATCCTAAAATTAAACTCCCCCCTGAAACTTTGCCTGAGAGAAGGCCAGCGGCTCCTAGCAATGCACCTCTGGATTCCTCCACATTTTCTGGGCTTGGACTACACCCCTTGTTAATCGCCCATTTGACGAATAAAATGGACATTCAGAAGCCCACTGCCATTCAGCGCGCTTCTCTACCGACTCTTCTCTCTTCCAGCTCTATCAAAAGCTCTCGAGATGTGTTCTTGCAATCACAAACGGGTTCAGGGAAGACCCTATCCTATTTACTTCCTATCATACAGGACTTGCTCCCTCTCAGTGAACTTTCTTACATCGACCGGTCAATAGGGACTTTGGCGGTAATTATTGCCCCCACTCGTGAACTGGCCAAACAAATATCCGATGTCGTTGAATCAATGCTGCAAATGCGACTACGAACAGGAAGCGAATCTACCACCAAACCGGATACGTCCACTAGATTGACTCGTTGGCTTGTCTCTGGCTTGTTAGTCGGAGGTTCTACACGGACACACGAGAAAGCCAGGTTACGAAAGGGAGTTCCCATCCTCGTATCAACTCCCGGCCGCTTGCTTGACCACCTACAGAATACCTCATCGTTCAACGTTGGAAAATGCCGATGGTTAATTCTCGACGAGGCAGATCAGCTCATGGAATTAGGTTTTGAAGACACCATCAAGGGAATTATTCAAGGTCTAGACGGACGTCGGCGGATGGCGAAACAAGCGATGGAGGAGGGTAAGACGGCGGAGGTTGGGGGGTGGGATTGGGAGCGGCGGAGAAGGACGATCCTTTGCTCCGCTACCATTCGAGAAGACGTTCAGAAGCTTGCAGGGGCAGCTCTGATCGAACCTTTCATGATCAAGGCGACAGAAGTGGACAAGGACGATGACAAGGCTTTAGGATCCAATGCAGAGTCATTTACACCTCCTTCACAGCTCACCCAGAAATACGTCATTGCGCCGTTGAAACTTCGTCTTGTTTCTCTCGTCGCCCTCTTGAGGACACTAGTTGCTCAAACACAGGTGCGGCAAGGAGCAAAGATCATCGTCTTCCTGAGTTGTACGGACTCGGTAGACTTCCACTGGAATCTACTTGGCGGCGCTACGATGGACGGAGAAGAATCACAGAAATCATCAAGAGGGGAAGATGATAGTGAGGGTGAAGAAATAGATGATAAGGTGTCAAGAAAAGAAGTAGGCCCAGACAAGGTGCAGACAAGTTGCCCTCTTTTACCACGAGTCACAATCTACCGATTACATGGCTCCTTGCCAACTGCATCTCGTCTTGCGTCCATCAAAGGTTTTGCGGGAAAGAACAAGAATGAGCAACAGTCGACATCCTCCATCCTGCTTTGCACTTCTGTTGCATCCCGTGGTCTGGATTTACCCCTCGTCCGAGCAGTCATTCAGTATGACCTACCGACGGAAGGCGGTGCGACGGAATACGTTCATAGGGTTGGAAGAACCGCTCGCGCTGGGAAAGGTGGTGAAGCTTGGAATTTTGTAGCTCCAAGCGAGTCTGATTGGGTTAATTGGATTCAAGAAAAGATCCAAGGTGAAGGGAAGGATGCCGGGAAAGTGGTGCTGTCTCCTGTTGCGGTCGAAGAGCTCCTACGGTCAGGTTTTGGTGGCAAAGGAAAGGAGTATGAAGCTCGTGCGACGGAAGTGCAGTTGACCTTCGAGCGGTGGGTTCTTCGCAAGAAAGAGGCAAGTATCATTCAGATTTCAGACCGCCGTTTTGTCTCTCTAAATCATTATCTTTTGCAACCAGAATGCATCTTTTGCTCGCAAGGCGTTCCTCTCTCACATGCGGGCCTATACAACTCATCCTTCCAACGAGAAACACATATTCCACATCCGTAATCTCCACATGGGACATCTCGCTAAAGCATTCGGTCTACGAGAAGCTCCCAAGGCTGTCAAAGGAGCGGGTCAGCAGCAGTCATCCAAGCAAAAGAGCCAGAAAACGAAATCAGGGCGCTCGAAACACGGACGAGAGGATAGCGACGACGAAGCATGGACGAAGAACAACAATGGGGATGCTGAAAGGCGTATGCAGGCTGTAGTTCGTGCGCGGGGTCGTCTGACGAAGAAGGGAGGTGTTATGACGAGCACCGGCGCTTCAGAGTTCCAGATATCGAGCACGGCCGATTTAGAGAAGCTACTCAGTCGGTAGCCATCGATCCAACCATTTTTCGGTGTTCTTTGCGTATTTCATTGGATATACGGCGGAATTCTAGAGTCATTGCAAAGTTTTGTCCTAAGAGAGGCGAGTAGTTCATCATAAGGGTGAAGATTCAGATGCCAATGGATGCAACATAGGTTCTATAAACATCAGCTTACAAAATACGCAAGTGTGAAGCAAGTACTTGTAACTTGGTGGTGGTGTTGGTCAGGGTCCAGGGAGCGGTGATCTTGTTAGGAGACGCTTCCCACGGAGGCAATAGCGTTATACGATCACTCGTCGCCACGTCTTCATTTCCCCTTCATCCCCCACCACCATGTTCGGTCGTTTATCACTTGCGTTCATTGTCGTGTCCTTTGCCGGGTTCTTCTGCGCTCAGTCTGTGGAAGCCGCTAAGGGCCCAAAAATCACGCACAAGGTCTACTTTGACATCAAGCATGGCGACGAGAACCTTGGACGCAGTAAGTGTTCTCGTGTTAGTATCTTTGAATACAACTTCTGACGACTGCGTCAACTCAGTTGTAATGGGTCTCTTTGGTGGAGTAAGCCGTAGTTGAACTCTCTGGACGATGAGGGACGCGAATTCAACTGAATCTTTTTGCAGACCGTCCCGAAGACCGTTGAGAACTTCCGTGCTCTGGCGACTGGCAAGGACAAGGATGGCAATGAGCTCGGCTTCGGATACAAAGGCTCTAAGTTCCACCGTATTATCAAGGATTTCATGTATGTTCCCTGCCGAGCTTTCTTAAGGTTGGTCTGACCCAGCGCTCTGTATAGGATTCAGGGTGGTGACTTCAGTAAGTTCGAAGGGACACTCAATGCGGCGTCTGAGGTTAATCATGGATTCTAGCCCGTGGTGATGGCACTGGCGGAAAAGTATGTCGGTGATCCCAACACCAACGGGTGCAACGAAGCTCATCTATGTTTGTAGTCCATCTACGGCGACAGGTTTGCCGATGAGAATTTGTTAGTCCTCGAGATTGCCTTCTACTTAAATATACTCTAAGCTTCGCGTCTATGAATATAGCAAGCTCCGCCACACTGGCCCTGGCATTCTCTCCATGGCCAACGCGGGCAAGGACACCAACGGTCAGTGCCTTTCTTGAAATACCGGGATTTGGTATTGACGTAAATTGACAGGCTCTCAATTCGTTCGTGGTCTCCTTCGGTTCACCTATCGAAATGTTAATCTTTCCCGTAGTTCATTTGCACTGTCGTCACCAGCTGGCTCGATGGCCGTCACGTAAGTCGACCCGGATTCAGAATTTATTCTCCAACTAACTTATTTTCCTCAGGTTGTCTTTGGAAAGGTCATCGAGGGTCTGGACATTGTGCGCGCCATCGGTAAGTCTCCCCTTCGAGCATGTATAAGTCATATTCTCAAATCGCTCTCCTCGTCAGAAAACGTTCCCAAAGGTTCAGGAGATCGCCCCAAGCTTGATGTCATCATTGCTGACTCTGGAGAGGTAAGTTTGTCATGATAGCTTGTCACTACATACTCAAGTTACTCTCATGCAGTTACCTGTGGAGACTGCCCAGGATGAGGATGGAAAAGAGGTGCCCCTCCACGCTGAGCTCTAATCCTCAGCTTCCATATGAAAAATTTCGTACCAATAAAATCAATATATTATTAACAGGATACTCCTACTCGTGTGGAAGCACCCGCGAAGCCTGTTCACACGCCTGGACAACCTGGACCCAAAAAGATTGAAGAGCACATCACAGGGACACCAACAACTACATCCCCGAAAGTCACTGCCAAGCCATCGAACAGTACCTCAGAGATCGATGCTATCCCCCCTTCGCCGTCCTCTTTTGCTAACATCTTCTTCGTCCTCATTATTTTCGGGGTGTTTGCTAGCGCCTTCGTCTGGGTCGGTGGCGCGCGATACATTGCCCGGTTCCTGCCTGGCGGCAGTGCCCGGTATAGCCAACTTTCGAATGAGGATCCTCTGAAGTAAGAGTGTATCATTGTTTTGTTGGCAGAAGGGGGATCTTTACCCGATGTTTGATTCCAGACGCATCGCATGATTGCGGAAAGAAAGTCACAGCAGAGTTCTGGAATGAGATTTATATAACTTATTCTTGCGCAATTCAATTTTCAGCCAGCTTCAGCCTCCCTCGGGATGTATCACTATACACTATCATTGTTTTGACAAGTAGATAACTTTGCGACTCGCAAAAAACTAAAATGCTGAGCAAGTGCTGTGGCACAACAAGTGAAATAATCCGAAATAACTAGAGATACAGTTCTGGCTATGTAGAGTATAGATAGAAGAGAATAGAAGTTAGTCCTGCAAAGAAACACCAGGACGATAATGGAGAATTCTTCGCACTGGAACTGGTGGAAGTATCCGGTCTAATGCCTCAAGGTTAGCATCCGAATTGAATAGATCGAACCTGTAGGAACGTACGGGATGCCGCTCTGATCAGAGAAAGAAGGACAGATGTTCGAGACGTTTCCTGGCGTCGGGTCAGCAGGACAGCAGGCACTCGTTCCCAGAGCCTTGACACTCCCAAGGGCTGCAGCATTCCTGGAGCCCTCCCAGACGGGTATACATGATACACTCGCGTAACTGATGTTCCAGACACCAAAGTCCTATAGATCATGCTGTTCAGTAGAAACTTCGACAACGCCACAAATTTAGATACCTTGTATCCGTACAGAGTCTCATTCGAAGGGAAGAAATCGTCAGGAATGGCTTTAGAAGGATAGGCAAGATCAAAGTTCAGGTGAGCACCAGCGCTGGAAGTGATTTAGAATCGTAAGCACATATATTGAAAAAGATACAGTCATACGAGTTGGTTCTGTCTGTCCTTCCTGAGCACCAGCCACTCTCCGACAAGGGGCAGAGATCGGTTATTTTGATGACAATGGATTTGACGACTTCGGGAAAGAACGGTGGGGTTGCAACGACAGGATTGAGTAGGGTTAATTGAAAGCATCTTCCGCAAGCAGGACCTGGCATTGGGATTAGAATATGCAGGAGAACGACGGCATAGAGACACACCATAATTCATGCTGCTTCCAAAGGCCATTTGTGATAGAGCTGCGGTGGGATACTCCGTGCTGTCTCCAGTGCACCCACAGGCGGCAACATAACCAGAAGGGAGCGTGTAGTGTGTGAGGGTCGCTATGCCGGTGTCAGGATAATCTATCCATTGGGCGCATGCTGAGGCCCATAAAAAGGCCAGAGCAAGGTAGATGAATATTAGCATACTCTACGGAGACATGAAGACGAGTTGAGGGAGTAGACAAGGCTTTGTGTTGCACATCATGCATCATGCCAATGGCTTGGGAGATGCAGTAAAACGAGTGCACGTGGAGCCGGACCGGGGACCAAGTCTGATCGGAATGCACCTTGTCCACTCCCACCAACCCGTCCGTCCTTGATCCATTCAAATGAAGGTCGCTTACCCCCATTCACACTCCCTTGATGAGCTCAATCCACCTCTACTGTCCCTCAAGATTGCGCGTCATTCACCGTGTTCGATATGTCACAATTGTTCGGGGCTGCATCCACCACCCAAAGTCGACGTAGTGCTCGACGGACATAACGATTCGTTGGATCTTGGACAGTATGGATCTGATGACGAGTTCGAAGAAGTCTCCTCGTACCTTCAAATTTGTCGTTGTAGCCACAACGTGAAGGAACACAATGCGGATGAGGCTGTTCTTGGCAAACTCGAGTTCAATCGCAGGGCTAGAGTTGCTATTCGACTCGATGAAATCCTTCAGGTCAGTGGCATATCCACTCATCTACGCGTATTCTGATGCATATATAGGTGAGGAAATATACCATGAAGTTTTGTCGACGCGAAGGGAATGACCCTATGGAACGCAGGACTCTGGGCGGCTACTGGACTTCGACTATACGGACGAAGATATATCTTCTCTGCGTAAACAGATGGGACATCCAGTCTCGCAAGTAAGGGTGGCCGTTAACTCATCTCCGAGTACGTTGCATGAACATTCATGTAAATCACCTATTAAGCCGTGGCCAGTCCAGAAGCCGTTAAGCCTATCTGAGTCTCCAGATTCCTCGGTTCTCAGTGATCTGCCGCCAGTACAGCTTGCCAAGAAACGACGCATCTCACTATCATCTCTAAGCGATGCCGATGAAAACGACGATGACGATGACGATGAGGAAGACAAACCGCTGGCTGCCAGGATCACGATGCCTTCACGTCCTGTTACTGGAAAGAGAACAGGAAAGCAGGCCCCTGGAAAAAAGTCGAAGAAGGCGCACCATGATGAGGCGCCGAAAGCATCTTCCAGTGGCCGAAAAAATGGTATTAATGGTCATGATTCAAGAGTCAAGCTTGAGGATAAGATGGATGAAGGTCAACTAAGTCGGTTAGCAGCAGGTGTGCCAGTGGATGTAGTTGGGCGATCTTCAGCAGGGGTATGTGCTCCTACCGTCTCTGGCCGTCATTGTCTGACTTCCTGTATTAGCCACCTGTCCGGACAGAAAAACCTTCAGCCATCGAAATGCGTAAAGGTCTAATACAAATCATACCAGTTGAAAACGACAGGGAACCTAAATCCTTGATAATCTTAACAAATCTTAAGACATTATTCCAGAAGCAACTTCCGAAGATGCCACGGGAATATATTGCTCGACTTGTATACGACGAGAACTCTAAATCACTCGCCATCGTCAAGCGTGGTCTCAAAGTCGTTGGCGGAATATGCTATCGCCCATTCCCACATCGAGGTTTCGCAGAGATTGTTTTCTTTGCAACAAATTCTGCGGATCAAGAAAAGGTGCAGTTAATCTCATTCATCCATTCTACGGCGGCATCATCTCATAATTCGCAAGGGCTACGGTGGAATGCTCATGGATCACTTCAAAGCTCACATCCGGAAAACATATCCGGACATGTGGCATTTCCTGACTTACGCTGACAACTACGCCGTCGGCTACTTCGAGAAGCAAGGCTTTTCGAAGGATATCTCCCTGGACCGCTCCAAGTGGGCCGGGTATATAAAGGACTACGAAGGTGGCACGATAATGCAGTGCACGATGCTGCCTAAGGTCGATTACTTGAAAAAACCAGCCATATTCAAGGCGCAGCAGGAGGCGATCATGGTGAAGATTAGGCAATCGTCGAAGTCGCATATCGTACACCCTGGGTTACCCCAGTTTCAACCTGGTGCTCCACCGAACGTGATAGTTGACCCAAAGGATGTTCCGGGCTTAAGGGAAACGGGATGGACACCAGAGTTTGCTGCAAGGTAAGTCGATTGTGCACTTTTTGTCTGCTGCCTCTGGTTATGACGCCCCATATAATGGAACATAGCATGGGCCGATCAAATTCGAGGAATGCAGTGAAGACCCTGATGGAACAACTAATAAATGAATTGGTGGCAGAACCCAAGGGTTGGGCTTTCCTACAGCCCGTGGACGTCAGCGATGTCGGAGACTACTATGACATTGTGAAGCACCCCATGGGTAAGTCGCGAGAATGCCCGCATTCACACGTAGAGTTTTTCTAACCTACTTCTTATGTCCCCTAGATTTCTCGACCATTCAACACAAGATATCGACGAACCAGTACAAGACCTTCGAAATCTTCGTTGATGATGTCCAGCTCGTTTTCGACAACTGCCGACTGTATAATCCGGAGACCTCGATATACGCGAAGAATGCCAGACACATGGACCAATTCTTCAAGAACCTCCTCGCCCAGCATCTCAAGCAGGAGTCTTGATATCGTGACTCTTTCTTTTGCCTAAGCATTTGTATTGGTCGCTTCTATTGTACTATTAGTCACTATCGTCTACTTCATGTATTACTTGCTATCTCCGCACATTTCTTATATTGTTTCCTGGGTCAAGTTGTTGTAACTTATGTATCCTTGCTATAATTCTTATTCCTCGTCAAGAGTCAAGACAATCGAAATATCGATATCATTCGCTGGCTCTCTGAAGTACAAGTGAAGTGATACAAGGTACATACGAAACAGTGTGGTTTTCCCTGGGTGATTGATAAATAAGCGGAATGAATAATGTACACGTTATTGACGTTCATCCAAACTCATAAGACCGCTCAACGCTGACCATAAGCCTTGCTCTCATATTTGCCGAGACCAACGATGATGTTCTGTGCCTCCTGGGGCTTGTTTTCAAGGTAGTTTTGGAGGATGCTCTTTGTGCCTTTGGCGTAGCGAGCTTGGGCGTCGAGGGTGGTGCCGGAGTAGTGAGGCACCATGCCATTTCCACCACCGAGGGGATTCTTCATCGTGCGCCAGATGTGGTCCTTCGGCGCGGGCTGCACATTCCAGACGTCACCGGAGTAGCCAGCAATCTGGCCGCTGGCGAGGGCAGCAGCGACAGCGTCCCTGTCGCAGATGGCACCACGGGCGGTATTGACGAGCCAAGCACCTTTCTTGAAGTGCTTCAGCAGCTCGGCGTTGACGAGGCCACGAGTGCCTTCATGCAGAGGGCAGTTGACAGTGACGACGTCACACTGCAAAAGGAAGAAAAGTTCAAGCCCAGGTCGCTCAGTTGCCTGTGGATACTGACCTGGGAAACAAATTCCTTGAGGTCCTCGACGCGGCGAGCCTTGACAGCCTCGGCGGCAGCAGCGGGCAGAGGCGCGTAGTCGTAGTAGAGAAGCTCCTTGCAGTCGAAGGGCACCAAACGTTGAAGGACACGGTAACCAATGCGGCCAGCACCAATAGTGCCAACGACCTTGCCTTCCAAATCGAAGGCGTTCCTGGCAATGTCAGAGACCATCCAATCACCACGCTCGATCATTTCATGTGCTGGAACGAAGTTCCGGACGAGTAGAAGGATGCTCATCACAACATGCTCAGCGACAGAGACGACATTAGATCCAGAGACCTAACTCGTATTAGAGTTTGTAGGGCAGCTTTTGAGGGAAAAATACCTCGAGAACTTGAATCCTGTGGTCGACAGCGGCGTTGAGATCGATGTGGTCAGAGCCGACACCAGCAGTGATGCAAAGCTTGAGGTTTTTGGCCTGTCCAAACGTCGTGAGTGACTAAGTGCTGGATATTAGACAACGGCTAAATTTATTTACCTTCTCGACGAGGTCTCGAGTCAGGTACCTGTTTATGCATCATTAGAAGCATTTCAAGAGCACACGGCCGTTATTCTCGCACCCAGGATGGAAAGGGGTTGTGATGAGGACTTCAGCCTATTATTATCCATGTCAGACCAATCGGCTCTGCAGGGCGATGTGGGCACATACATCAACGATGTGTTTCTGGAAGTCGCTGTCTGGGCCTTCTTTGCTGCTGGACACCTAGGAGAGCATAAGCGTCTTGCTTGGCACAGTAGGCGGATTGGTGCATACTAGAAGGTAATACCATCAACATCACTCCTGCGGGTGCAGCAGCTGTTCAACTCACCGATGAATTCGTGGCCCTGAGCTTCGAGCCACTCCTTGATCCCGAGCTAACCAGGAACTTAGTTGAGGAAAGACCAAAAAAAGACGATCTTACTTTGTTCTCGATGGTACCGAGGAGACGGGGCTCGTTAAGAGCAGCGTCACCGCCTTCATAGAGGATTGCAAGGACCTGAGTATGACGTCAATAAAATACGAGATATATTTCATTTGAAAAGAAAAGCTTGCCTTCATTGTGGTTTGTAAAGAAAGAATGGGCAAGAAGGGGGGACTGTTGCTTTCAGATGAGAGAGAAGACGAACAGAAATAGAGAACAAGGAGCTGAGACAGCGGCCTTTTATGTCTCAGCTGGCTGCTCGGGAAGAAGAACTAGAGAAGGTAGAGAAAGTATCATCAGATGACCCGGTCTGGGGAGTCATTCGAACCCTCCCGATGTGAGTATGACCGCCCAGTGAAAGCCATGCCAAAGGGAACCGGTCGCACAGCGGTTATTTTGAGATCACTTGTCCTCCGACCGTCACGTGTATGGGGTATCTGTCCTCGATCGAGCAGGTGCTCGATGCCCCCTGGTCGAAGCCGTCTTGTTCCGCAGGTGCGCGGCCTCTTTGGGAGGATGTGTCCAAATCCGATGGGGCTTTCCGGAGCACCCTATCCACCTACGGTCCATCTCGGAATGTCGGCTGCAGATATTCGCCTAGTGATTATTCCTCCGACGGATCATGCGCGGTGTGGGCGGCAATCGTCAAGCGAAGACGCCTTGGATCTTGGTAAGATAAACGCCTGTCTCTGGAAACAATGACCCTTCAGCACGAAAACAAAGAGAGGAAAGGGTGTCTTAAAAATAGACGCCGTGTAACTTAAGAACTAAGTGGCACATGGGCGCCCTCCGACGGGGAAAGGTCGCCAATTTCAAACAGTACGAACTGTTGCTTTTAGACCCCAAGATTTACCACATCATATTCGAAGGAGTATCTGTATTAGAAGTAATCTGAATGACCCACAGAGCTATTAGATAGCGGCTAAAATAGATGAGCCATTGATGATAACTCACAGGTGCTACAGAGTCGGGTTCCTCTCCGACAAGTCGGGAGTAGCAGGGATCATCTCGTATTCGCCCTCATCTCCGCTACGATCGTCTAAGTAGTTTGCCGGATTTCTCTCTTCAATCTTCTTAACAACCTCCCACTCAACTCTGACAAACACCCACAGCCACCTACGGACCACCTCCGCTACTTCCAACCAAAAAAATGCGACAGTGCCGTCTCTCGTCAGATTGACGTGTGGAGACAGCTTAACCGACCAAGTCATTCGGAGGAGGAGATTCAAGAAGATCAATGCGGGGTAAATCATCCGCGGATACAAGAGAACACTGCGAAGACCGTAACATGACTGTCGATAGCGATGCTTGAGTAGGTCATGAGCCTGTCCCGCGTGACGGTCCTCTTCCTCTGAAAGTGAATCCGGATAGCGTCGGATCAGAGGTGTGCCGGAATGGAGTCGGGCGAGCAGTAGTGGCTGCGGAGGTTGTCGCTCATGGTTGGTTGAAGGTTCGAATTTCATCAGATCTAAGCCCCAGTCGTTTGTCACGTCCCACCAGAAGGAGTACAGCGAATTAACGACAGCAGCCAGCAACCTTTCTTTGAGTCAGTTATACGAAGAGGGAGCACGAAAAGACAGACATACCACAACCGGAAAAGAGGATGTTCTCCATGCCACACCTCTCCAGCGAGTTTCTTGCCCCTTTCCTTCATTAAATCCACGATCACTAGTCTTTGTGCCGCCGAGAGGTAGATCACAGGGAAGGATGTCGCGTACTTCAACGCGTTGAACAACGGCCTTCGACTTTCGTTTCCAGGCATATTGTACTCGATAAGGCACTGGCGAAACCGGATGAAGAATGGGAAACTGGGCATCCAAGTTAGTCTGCGACTATTGAAGATAAAATGATTTCGTCTACCTCATCACTGTTGGTAAGATCCAGCGCATCCAGTTGTCATGTACAGGAGGAACCAGAATGCTGTTGCCAGGTTTGAGCATCCACAAGGACTGCCATATGTCTCCAAAAACCTTTGCGAAAGAGGTGCCAATATCCGCCAGAACGACGTCGGAGAAGTAGATAGGGCCATTAGGTGCTGGGAATATGCATCGTCGGATACCTCTAAAGAGGGGATGAGTACAGACAACAGATACAACACGGAGGCTCACAAGGTAAATTTTTCGCGCTCATGCCTCAAGAATATGTCGTATGGGCAGAGCAGGACTATTATAATCGCGAGGGTTGTAATTACTGGTATATAGCCATATGAGTCCACACGCGCTGGGTCTCCTTGCGTGACCAATCTATAGAAGGACCAAGACAGGAAGCATGAGAAGGAGTAGAGGGAGAATAGGCGGTATGCAGCATGATATAGGTCGACCACTCTTAAATGGTTGAATGCTGCGGAGTGGTGAACTGGCATGACCGGTTTCGCGAGGCCTGTATCCGTTCGGAGGTCCATGGCTGCTATCGTGTCAACGCCAGAAACATCAAGGCCATGTAAGTTGGTCGCCCATCCTAGAATTCCTAACCCGACCAAGACCAGCACACGATACGGGAGTGGGAAGGAGAGGTGCTGGTAAAGCTCTTCGTTGTCAGGGGAAGTCATCATGTCAAAGAGGCGGTCGTGGATGGTGATGGGGGTCGTAGGGGCATTAGGTGAAAACTAAGACCGTCAAGGCCGTCTGCGACGTTGACGGTGCAGTTTGAAATGACACGGCTCACGTGGCATCCGTTCATCAATGAACTCAGAATGGCGGCCCGGCCTCAGCCTCCCTACTCTAACACCAACATCCACTATGGCAGACAAAGGAGGTGCATACGGCGCAAAGGCAGCAGACACCGACTTCAGACGCAAATGGGACAAAGAGGAATATGCAGAACGTGCTAAACGGAAGGACATGGAAGAGAGGGAACGAATGCAAGAGAACGAAGAGCGCATGCGACAAGGCGAGTCAGAACGGTTCTCGTTCAATAAAAGTAGCTAACCTTAATATCCAGGCAAGAGACCTCGCAAAGGGGGCAAAAAAGATGATCTCCCAAAACCCACTGAGCTTATGAAGCAACGAGAAGGCCCCCTCGAACTTGACAAGAACCTGAACAAGACCATGGTTGTACAAAATCCTGGCGGAAGGGGTCCAGGACAGCCGGGATTCTACTGCGAGACCTGTAACAGGACCTACAAGGACAGTGTTGGATATCTGGACCATATCAACAGTCGAGCGCGTGAGTGATTCCCCCTCAACGAGACCCACGATTCTCAAACTTGACAATCTAGATTTACGCGCACTGGGCCAGACAACCAAGATTGCACGATCAACACTTGCTCAGGTTCAAGCTCGCATAGCCCTACTTCGCGAGAAAACCAAGGAGGCTGCCTCCGCTAAGGCGTACGACTTCGACAAACGTCTTGAGGAAGTGAAAGAGAAAGAAAGAGCACTGCGAGAACAGAGGAAGGCAGAAAAGAAGGCAGAAAAAGAGAAGGCCCGTCTCGCCTTGATAAACGACTCCAACGAAGACAGCGATATGGCAGCCATGATGGGCTTTGGTGGCTTTGGCTCAACGAAGAAATGACACTCGCAAAACTGTATGTTTGTATTTTTAGTTCATGGATGTAATACAAGATTTGATTCGTTTCTACAGCTAACTTCCCAATTAATGCCGTGCAAGATAGAGTATGAATTTGGTATCGTCAATCTCCTGCTCCTCCTCGATGATGACTTTGTTGGACGCTTTCTTCTCCTTGATGTCCTGGGGCAGGCTTCCGACAGTCTTCTTGATGATGTCGGTGTTTTCCTGGATGGCGGCAAGCAGATCTGCTCCAACACCCTCCTCAAAGCGATAGAACACGTGGGCATCGTCCGTGGCTTGAAGCCCCGCTTTCTTCCGGAGCTTCTGCACACGGTTGGTAAGCTCGCGAGCCAGCCACTCTCCTTGTAGATGTCCGTGTATCTGGATATCAAGACGAATGACAACATCGTTATCCGTGTTCGTGGCAAATTGGCCTTCGCTTGAAGAAGGGGTCTCGAGGTACCGCTGGACGGTCAAGTCGCCCTCAACGAGCTCAATCCCGTCGACAGTGATCTTCCCACTTGAGACGTACGCCTTGATCTCGTCACTGGGGACGCTGGGAAGCGCGTTTCGAACGCGGGCAAGGTCCTTGCGCAACTTGCGACCCAAAACAGCCCAGTCAGCGACTGCTCTGTACCGAACTCCGGAGAGAGCTTCATCAGAGGTAAAGACGACGTCGCGCACGTTCAGCTCTGATTCGATATATCGTTGCAGCGGCTTGACATCGGCAACATATCCCTGATCGGGATGGAACACAAGCAACTCCTTCAAAGGGACCTAAGCTCGCGCACGTTAGTTGTTTCCTATCATACTTGGTGGCTGGCTAACGGACCTTCAGAGAAAGATTGTTCTTCTCTCGCACATTGCGTGTGAGGTCAATAACAGCCTGCATACGCTGCACCTGTCGTTCGATATCCGCATCAAAATATTCTTCTTTCACCTCTGGGAAGCTCAGGAAGTGGATGGAACGAGCATCTCCAGCGGCAAGATCCTCCGGAATGAATTTCCTGAGCGATTGGTAAAGGTTTTCTGTCAAGAACGGGGTATAGGAAGACTACCGACGGCATTAACACGTGGAAAAGAGAAGAACTACATGTACTGACCATTGTACGGCACAGGGTGAACAGTGTTTCGAAAAGGGTGTTAAGAGCAGCAACAGTATCTTCTTGGCCGTCTTCGCCCTTCAAGCGCTTGCGGTTGAAGCGAATGTACCAATTTGTCAGCTCGTCAACGAGGTCAAGCAAACGGGGAATGATAGTGTAGAGGCGGTAGGCTGCCATCTCCTCTCTGACCAGCTTGATCAGAGATTGACATCTGGCCAGGATCCACCTATCCATGACATTGCTCGGCAGTGGCGCACGAGCATCGTACATAAAGTTGGTGCTCGTGGTTTTCTTGAGAAGAGCAACGTGACCCATAAAGAATCGGAAGGAGTTCAACCATGGAAGAAGCACTCGAGAAATGACTTCTCGGACACCCTCTTCTCGGAAGCGAAGATTATCTCCTCTCACGATGGGGGAGTTGACGAGGAACATCCTAGCATACTTGATGAGCTTTTTTTGCATACCCAGGTATGTATTCCTTACCTCGTCGCGTCAGCGCCGTACTTATCGATGATAAGGTTGGGATCAGGATAATTCTTCAGACTCTTGCTCATCTTCTTGCCGTCACTATTGCGGATGTGAGATGAAGGTCGACAGATAATGCAAACGCGACGCATACGCAGCAAGGACGAGACCAGTGACGATGAGATTTTTCCAAGGAGCCTTCTTGAAGAGATGCGTCGAAAGAACCAGCAGCGTGTAGAACCAGCCACGCGTCTGGTCAATACCTTCAGAAACGAAATCGGCAGGATGAGTACGTTCGAACAGCTCCTTGTTCTCGAAGGGATAGTGAAGCTGAGCGTATGGCATGCTACAACACGCATTAGTAGACGATTTCATGGTCTCAGGGTTTCTGTACCTTCCGGACTCGAACCAGCAATCAAAAACTTCCTCGACACGCTTGAGGTTTCCTTTCCCCTGCTTCGAAGGGATAGTGATGTGGTCTATCTTATCTCTATGGATATCGGTGATGCCCTTGACACCAGACAGTTCCTCGAGCTCGGCAACCGAACCGACGCATACAATCTGTGGTTGCATAAGCATCGAAAGACACGACCAATTCACGGCGAATACCCACTTCTTCCATGTCGTCACTGACCCACAGCGGCATAGGGGTACCCCAGTATCGATTCCGCGATACGTTCCAATCTCGAGCATTCGCGAGCCAATTACCAAACCTGTTGTCGCCGACGCTCTGTGGGACCCTGGAAACTTGTCAAACTATCTGGGAGCATCATAAGGGGAGGACGAACCATCGTGTTTCTTCGTTGTAGGTGACGAGCTCATCTACGATGGGGGTAACTTTCACAAACCAAACTGGAATGGCACGGTAGATCAAAGGAGTGCCAGATCTATATTCGCCATTAGTCAAGGCGGGTCATTCGCAGACTCAGGTTCATTACCTCCAGCAGAATGGGTAGCTGTGGTTCAATGTCGATTGCACAATCAAACGACCTTTGCTCTTCAATGCCTTCTGAATCGGGCCATCTGCAGCCTTGACATGCAGTCCAGCAAAATCAGAGACTTCCTTCGTGAAATGTCCCTTGTCGTCAATAGGACAAGGAGGCATCGTGTCCGCTTCCAGTACACCGTGGGCAATGGCAATGCGATGATCATCTTCACCGAAAGCAGGCGCTTGGTGGACGATGCCCGTACCGTCAGCATCCGTGACGTAGGTGTCGACTAAAACTCTAAATGCCCTGTCCTCAAACTGAAAAGCGTGTGTGAGTCACATGACGAACACGCTGAGCACAAGATTTACCTGCTCCGTGAAGTATTCGAAAAGAGGAACGTAACGCCATCCCTTCATGTCCGATCCTTGGAATTGAGCCAGTTTCTTGTATTTTGCCTTCTTGGGGTCTTTGAACAGAGTCCGCAGGAGGTTCTCGTGAAGGATAAAGTTTTGGTCGCGTTCGACATCATGGATTTTGATGTAAGTGTAATCGGGATGTACGCAGAGTGCAAGATTCGACGGTAGGGTCCACGGCGTGGTTGTCCATGCTAGCAAGGAAGTGCTTGGATCGTCCACCAACGGAAAGGCAACGGTGACTTAAAATCGTGAGCAAATGCATGTGCACTTTTAGAAAATTGACCTACTGGCAGGATCATTGACATCTTTATATGCTTGACCGGCCTCAAAATTAGAGAGAGGAGTCGTGCATCCTGTAGAATAAGGCATCACCCGCAAACCGCGGTATACCATTCCTTTCTTGAAAAGCTCGCTAAATGCCCACCAGACCGACTCCATGAATGACAGATTGAGGGTCTTATAGTCATTGTCGAAGTCGATCCAACGACCCATTCGTTCCACCGTTTGTCGCCATTCGGACGCGTATCGCATGACGATCTTGCGGCATTCTTCATTATATTTGTCTATTCCCATGGCCAAAACGTCCTCCTTTCCGGTGATTCCCAGTCGTTTATCGATCTCGTGCTCGACTGGAAGGCCATGAGTATCCCAACCGAATCTTCTTGTTACATGATATCCGCTAACATGGGCATGTCTTGTGACGATATCCTTCGAATAAAAGTCAATCAAGGTGAGGCAACGAGAGAAGCCTATAAGCACCTTGATAGTACCAGCAAGTAGATGACCGTAATGTGGCAATCCCGTTGCAAAGGGCGGGCCATCGTAAAATGAGAACTCTGGTCGGCCTTGAGAAAGCCTCAAACTCGTTTGAAACGCGTCGATCTCTCTCCAAAAAGCGATGACCTTTTCTTCTTCCTTTGGAAAATCAAATGGCGTCGAGACTTCCGAGAGTATAAGCTGACAACTTTTTTACGGACCGAGGTCGACTCACTGTCGTGCGCCGGAAATGGCATCTTGCGCGGACGTCGGGACAAGCAATTACCTGGGTGTTGGTGGTTGGTATGAAGGAAACGACGAGTAAGACTAGAACCGACCTATATCTATGAATCAGTGTGTTGTGCAATCCTTACACTGACTCGAGTCTGTTATCTTGTATAATCTTGTCGCGGTCATTGCCGTGTGAGATAAGATAATCTCTTGATCGCCAACAAGTCTCAAGAATGATCCTCAGTTCAACTTTCCACTGTCGCCATCATCTATGGTGCTCATCCGACGATACACCCCCTACTTTTCTCTCACCAAGAGATCTTTTATGTTTGTCTCTATGCAACGCCAAAAAGTGGCCCAGCTGGCCGCTAGTAAGGCGACACTATCTGGGAGACTCTGCTATTCTATAAACTGTATGCACTCAGGTTCTTGTTTACTTTCTTACTTGATGTCAGGGATGTAAGGGATGTAGCGTCTCACTGCCATGGGACCGTTCTCAGGAACCATTTTGCGGCACACAACTATCCAAACTTTTCGAGCCAATTCGATCCTATCAGGCCTTGCTGAAGTTGCTCAACTCTCAAGGTTTGCAGTTCGCTGAGAAATAGTGCCATTTCTGTAATGTCACCCATATTTACGGACTAATTTGACTTCTACAGGCTAGTCAAGGAAATGAACCGTTGTTGATCTCTTCACGGATGTCGCGCAGAGCGTCAGAATTCGAAGTCTAACGATAGCAACACTCAGTACCGCCTACACACTTACATGCCTTCTAATCATGGCTCACTAGCGTTCCATCAGAGCTTTCTCAACTTTCATATCCGACTCGGAGAATCAGCACGCTGGAAGAGGTGGGTTTCTTTGAAGCACATCAATCACGGTACTTGGAAGTTGGTCCAAAGAAGCAAAATCTCAACGAAACAGGATATGGTATGAATGCCGTTCTCTTTCACAAATCGAGTTCATGTCCCATCTAGACTACATCCCCTTTTCACATAGCACAAGAAGGATGATCGGCAAAAACGACGCTCGTGTCACACTGGATTCCAATGTTATTCTCAAATCCGAGATTTCACGGCAGCAATGAGTACTTTTGCCTGCTCTTCGTTTATTGATATCTTCAACTTGTCCGCGGATTTAGTGTACAGGTTACCAGGCCACTCCTTCATAGATAGAGGTTTCTGTTTTGTTATTTCGTTTTGCTGGCAGTTGTCTCAATATGTACATTATCGCAATCACCATCTTCTCATAGTTTATGCAAATCTTCTGTAACATCTTCAATGTTCCGTAGTACATGTTTCACAATGAAAGAATCCATTCATGCACATTAATTGACCTGGTGTTAAGTATATCGTCTCCGAAGCAGACGCTCGTCATCTTCGAGTCTCACAAGTCATGTGTATCTGTGAGAGATTTAAGGCAACCATGTCTTGGTAAATGTTTACAGTTGTGGAGCTGGGTGGGAGCATTTATTAACTTGAGTATCGTACATCGGTGCAGCTTCTTGCCAAGTCACGACAAGAGAGATCCTTCCTTTGAAAGCAGGTCTGGTAATCGTTACCCTACCCCGATGTCCCGCTATCATGATCACAAGTAAACCATGGATGGCTCAACACGTCTTCGGCGCTCGCTCGACACTCTGGATCGATCTTGAGCATAGAACGCAGTAGGGCAAATATTTCGTCAACCTCGGCCTCCGTTAGTGTCGTTCCAGGTATTGTCGTCAAGTGCTCCAACCGCCGTTGCCATTCAGCATCAGCGGTTTCGTGCGAGACAGCTACTCACGAATTCTCAGTCAGCCATAACAACAGATTTACGCACTTACACATATTGCGCAGCCGCTCTCGGGAGTCCCAATAACTCCTCCACTCCCGGGGCACCTCACCGCACAGCGTCGCCATTGCACCCAAGAGCGCGTCATTTTGGGCCGCAAAGTGAAACAGCCTTGCTCCGAAGACCAGCTCGTAAATCTGAATATCCGGGCCACCGTTAGCAGTCGCGGGTCGAATACATCAAGATCACCCACCGTGCATGCAAGCGACCAGATGTCGCTCGCTCGTGTCGAGGGGGGTTGACCGACTGGACGACGTGTTCAAACATGAGCTCGGGCGCACACACCGCTGCCGGGGTGCAAGACTCCCTCGTCTGCTCATGGACGACGATTGCTAGTGCGAGGCATAAGCATCGACGTAGCAATAGTCACACACGTGCTAACCGTTGCCTAGATCCAGAATCTCCGCCTGGAGGGGCCCTTCCATGAATGCGGGGTCATTGTTCGCCAGGTAGTCAATGACCGATATT